GAGCAAGGACCAAACAACTAAAAACTCTATAGTTGGTTGGGTCAAGATCATTTTAACCTAAATCATAACAACTAAAATGTTACAAAGCAAGATCACAACAATGGAAGAATAACGAATTTGGTTAATAATATGTTTACACTTTATAGTTTGTAAACTCTATATTACACCAGAAATACCATTTGCATGCCCTTTTGATGGTGGTATAACAGTGTGTAGATTTTTTATCATCTTATTGAGTTTTTTTAATTTATCTTCATTACCCATCTCTAAATGTCTCTCTAAAACACGAAAACAAGTCTTGCTTAAATGCCTCCCTCTTTCAAGAATCTGTAAAGAGCATTCAAAAGCTTCTTCTACTCTTCCATGAGAACACAAGCTTCTCACAAGAACATCAACAGCATGACTATGTGGACAATAGCCTTTATCAATTAAGTACCTCCAAAAACCCATGGCATCATCAACTTCATGATTTTTGCAGAAAAGTTTCATTAACATTACAACCGTTTCTGATTTGGGGACAAAGTTTCTACTGATCATCTTGTGATAAAGCTCTAGAACACCATCGATTCCAGTTGACTTCATCAATCCTGAGAACATTGTATGAAATGTAATGTTGTCATGAAGAAGATTATTAGCTTCCATTTCATCCATCAATTTAGTTGCAGAGTCGATGTCACGTGATCTGATGAAAGCATTCATTAAGGCGTTGTAGACACCAGAATCTGGGAGTAGGTTTCTCTTAGGTATTTCATCGAACAGTTGTTGTGCATAGGTTGTGTTGTGAGCAATTCCTGCTCCATGGATCAAAGTGGTTAGTGTCTTTAACGTGGGCAAGCAGTTTGCCTGTTCCATTTCTTCAACAAGTTTTAACCCATCTAGAAAACGACCTCTTTTGCAGTAAGAATCAATTCTGATGTTGTAAGTTACAATGTTGGGCTTGAAACCTCTTCGAATCATCTCATGGTAGAAAAGCTCTACAGAAGTGACATCACCAGATTCTTTAAATCCAAGAAGCAAAATATCATTGTTTTGGTGGTGGGGGAGAATCGGGAATATAGCTTGTTGAATACTGACTTCGCTTCCTTCATTTGCCTCTGTGTGCAGAATGCTCGAAGGAGAAGATTGAATTCATCTGTACCAAATTGCTTGTGATCGGAAAGTTTATCTTCCATTTTCTGAAACGCTTCAAGGGTTTCTTCAAAAGATTGAAACTTTGCAATTCTTGATAACATGATGCTCATGGATTTGAGGGTAAGCAAGGAAGGGTGTGTTTTATGAATTTCTTCTATCAACTCCCACGCCTTGTTGAAATTCCCCATTCGAGTTAATATATGAAGTGTTTTTTCAAATGCATCTGAAGTGGGACAGAATTGGGAAAATTGGAGGGAGAATTTGAAGAATTCAAAGGCTTTAAGGCCATTAGAGTGCGATGCAAAGAGATGGCCAAGAACATTTTCCACAAAGGAAGTTGAAATGGTGGTTGAAGGGATAATTTGGGAAAGTTTTGGATGAATGGGTTGATCGAGAAAAGGATGGTCGTTGATTATTTTAGTAATTCTCTTGATTTCAAACTCCAAATCTGAAGAATAGAACCGGAAACCAATGGTGGCTGCTACTGTTGGCTGTTGAAGAAGTGGAACTTGAAGAAGTTGATTGCATCTTCCTAGGAAGAGCATAATCTTAAACAAATTAAGAAACAATATCAGTTTCTATAGGTAGCATATACACGATGAGTTCATCTATTTTCAACAATCTAGTAAAGGACAACAGGAACCCAAATGATATAGCCTCAAAAGATAGTCGAAAGAAGTTGCCAAAAACCTTAAATTAAGGCAAAAAAAATTCTGTTGAAACGTTCATATATTAACGAAATAAATACAACTTCAGTGTAGTATAGACGAGGGTAGGAAGGATGAAGGACCATATGACCTATCTATGCGATGGGTTTTCTTGAAGCTATCTTAAAACAACCGCTTAAGAAATATGAGGAAAATTAACAAACACCTGGCGTGCATGTTCCAAAACAGCGGCTAAAGAAAATATAATAAACAGCTTTTATGCTTTATTAAAGTCCAACATTTAAATACAGAAGAAACCCTTATATTTGTATTCTGATTGTATCAAAGTAATTTACATGCCGACATTCGTAGACATGGCCATGGGTTTTTCTATTTCTAATTTGAAGTAAGGTCACTCCTTTATACAGTTGGACCTCTATATATCTATTACAAAATAATCTAATCAAACAACAAAATGTAGGCACGAGATAAAACAACAAACAGGTGGTGAGCAAAAGAGGAATATGCAAGGAAGAAACAAAACAACAAACAGAAGAAACCATAAACCATTTACAGGGGAGAAAAGATATATGAAAACAAAAACGAAGGCAGACACGTTACCTGAAATGGTTTGCTGTTGTCAATGATCGGTCGATGTATATGGATTGTTGAAAGTAATGGAATGGAACCAAGTCTTGACTGTAGAAAAGAGGTCCAAATCCTATCCTAATAAATAAGTACATTGAATGCCACGTGTCATTCTCTCAGCACCACCTGATCGAATTTTCCTGCCTTTTTCATTAAAGTGAAACACCCAAATTGCCCTTTCCTTCCTTTAATTTCCTCTCTTCACAGCTCCTGCATTAATTTGAAAACTTCCTATTATATCCTTTGACCGAAACAATAACTCCCTTTAAATTAGGTGATCGGATCCCATTTTAAAATTCAAAAAATTTTATACTCTTTTGATCAATATATATTCACAACTTATACTTGTCTATTTACTTCTGCATGTATATCAAACAAGGAAAGTCATTAATCGACATTTACTCTAAATAACGTAATTAATTATTTCCAACCGATCACAACCTTATTTAACGTAATAATAGGAATTTTATAAAGATTTTATCGATTTTCTTGGTTAAATATTCTCACCTTTCTCGATTTCTTCTTCACACTTCCATTCTTTCACAGGTCCATTGCAAGAGCAGAAGAAAAAAAAAACATTCTAATCGGCATCCCTTCAATACCTGTAAGTCAAAAATCTTGAATTGATTTACGGCAAATCGTTAAACACTATACATTTAACTAAGAAAATTCTTACATACATTAATCAGTAGATAATAAAATAACATTCAAATCTAAGATTGTTATTCGTATCATACCTTAGAAGAAGAATCGTCCACTAATTCAATATTTTTGTATTTCTAAGTGCTACATCGATTTTTCCTCTGAATCTCAACTCACGACCTCTGCATAAAGAAAGATCGGGTTAATAATCTCTACATCTATTTTTCATATGCATATCATCGATATCTCCATCTGTTTACTCACACACACATTCAATCATATGCAATTAATAATAATATATGATTGACATCCAGTTCAGTTTATATTTTTTCAGTTTTTATTGTGGTTTTGTATTTCCACTTTTTACCATCTACTGTGATTTGATCTTTTACTCTTCATGCTTCTAACCAACTACCAACCTACTTTTCTATTATGTACCATTCATTATCACAAATTATCATTCTATGGCAATGACTTATTTGATCCAAAACCGGTGCAAGATGGTAGTTGTATTTTCTATAAAAACATATTTCTATTACATTTTACTTTTACTTTACAATATTACTGAACTTACTGACCATAAACATACTCAATGTGGGGTAACAAAACAATATGTAGTCTGAAAAAGTAAGTGTAACAAAAACGATTAAACGAAAACAGTCTCTGTGAAGGAATGCAAACATGTTTCATCATCCATTGGGTTGTTGTTAACAAGTATCCATTTTTACTAATACTTCCATGATCAATTTTACCATTATTTTCGTAATCGGTTCAAATTTCCAAGACATAGAGTTGAAGGAGTTGCAATAATAAGTTGAATCAGTTCTAATACTAAGTTACAGTTTACACCTATAAATCTTTTTAAAAAAAGTTTAAAAGGACTTTTCTCACAAAAATGTATTTCCCTGTTATGATTTTGCTGCAATCGGAGAACCACTAACCATCTATATTTCCTTAAGCTTTAGGTATGTTTCAAAAACGATGATCTGGCAGAGGAAAAAAAGTAAATTTACAGGTTGTTGTTGTTGTCTGAGCCGAAAGAGACATAATTAAAACTTGAAATTGGTTATATATTTGGTATGCAAATCGAGAGAGAGGAAAAATCGAGAAACAAGAATGAAGAAACATACCTTTTTGGTTGTTGTTGCGAGAGTGAGGGTCGAGTGAGGCGGTGACCGGTGGGTCTGTTTTTGCTGATTTGTGAGGCCGTTGGTGTGGCTATTTTTGCTTATCAGTTTTCACGGTGGTGAGTGGCGGAACACCGGTGGTGGTCATCCTTTGATTAGCGAATTAGGTGGTCTCTGTTTGCATCCTGCGAGATGGACTGATGGGGAATGGTCGAGTAGGTGTTGAGTGTTCGTCGATTAGGTTATGATTTGTTATTGTATTTGAGTGTTCAACGGGTCCGTTTGATAAGGGTCGGATCCTGATCAGTTTTAGTGGATGGGTGGTTTTATGGTTGGTTTTGGTCAATACACCGAAACTGAATCCAACTTTTCGATTTTTACAAATTCGAAATCCAAAGTCCAAACCGACGGTATGTGACTTTATCTGTGTGTGTGTAAACAATTGAGTTATTAGCAAGAAACTTTTTTTAGTTGTTTTTTTAATTTTAAACCTATAGTAAATAGCAATGTACATTATTTTTTTCTTTTTTATTTCCTTTATCCTTTTCTAATTCTTTCTTAAACATGATAACATGTTTGTTAACATATGCAAATCAAGGGCATTTTAGTAACTTTACTTTACTGCGGCTTCATATTACCTTTGCTTCATATTAACTTTGTATGGGTTAAAATTACCAAATTGACCAAAAAGTGAAAAATTGTTAAAAAAAGTTAAAAAAATTGTATTTTTCTTTTATGTTTGTTAAATGTTATTCTTGACTAATTTGTGTCTGTTTGCATGCATGCTTCACACTTTATGCATTCATGCTATTAATTTTAAATTTATTTTATAAACCTATATACATTAGTTAATTTATTAACTTTCAATCTCCATTTATTTATTTTATTGTAAATTATTTTTTAAATTCTATTTAAAATTATCACCCGTGGATTCCACGGGTTATAACCTAGTGTCCAATAGAAAAAAGCAAAGCAACATTGTGTAGAGATATGTGCAACTTAAAAGAAATGAACGTACTGTTGAAAAAATAAAAAAAATATTAATACTTAAAAACCTTAATCATTAGATTTGCAAACGATTATTAATTAAGAATGTTGGATGTTTTCATTTAGGCTAATATTTAAAAATCTAAAATTTTTGTAAGAAACAAAACTGTGATGAAGTTAAATTAATATATAAGGTTTTTCTTTTTTTGAGATTTACTTCGAGTTTTATTATTATTGTTAGAATTTCTTAAATTCTTGAGTAATATTCGGAAATATTGTTTGAATATTTTGCGTAAACACACAGTAACACACAACCAAAACAGAAAATTTAATCGCCTTTAACTGCATAATAATAGTTTAAAATCCAAAACATAAATCCAAGAAATGACCTTTAATGTGGGCCTGGACTTATTAAAGGGACTTATTAAAGAGTATTCTATTAATTGTAGCAATGTACTTATAGTTCCTTGCGTGAAGCTCTTTTTTGAACTAAAAAATGCTAAATTGATTCAAAGTACAATGCTTAAATTAGTATTTGTTTTTAGAATACCTATGTTTTCTAAAATACCCTTGAAAGGAAAAAAAAATAAAAAAAAAAAAAGAAAAAGAAAAAAGAACATAGCAGACGCAAGACAAATAAATGTTGTATTTAAAAGGATAATGTATTTATAGAGTTTTATTGGACTTTAGAAAGTGAACCTCTAATCTTTAATACACGTAGGATCCAAAAACTAATATGATTTACTAAACGTGCGTTGTTATTAATCGCATTTTACCATATATTAAATTATCATAAATTACAAATCTAAATTATGATACCGTTCTTGTAACTCTTTATGTTTGTATTGTATAAGATTTTCATAAATGCAAATAAAAGGAAAAAAAACTACTTTTATTTATTGTCATAACATTTAGACATACACACATCAACACACATGCACACACTATTTATCTCTCATAGATAGACAACATAAACTCATAGTTTCTAAAAACCAAATAAAACAAACTAGCCCAAGTTATGTCCATTATAACATTGTACTTAAAAAGTACATTGGTATAACTGATTTTTTTACCATTTAACAACCACATAGATAATAAAAAAACAACATTACACGAAAATGACCCCTGATATACAGATTGAAACTTGAATAAGAATACTCGTTAAGATATTAATAAATCATATTTAAGTATGCTATTGACGAACCCTCTGCATACCATACCCGAAATAGGAAACAACATTTTTATATATTTATGATGAATTGTGTATTATTATAATTGATAAAAATAAATACCAGTACATGGAATCATGGCAAAAACCAACTAATACGTAGGACATCTTTCTACACACCAATTTACATTTTTGTCTACATTTTGCTCCACTTTATTTACATGTGCTCATCACAAGACGGACATGGGGAAATTGATAATCGGTGGCATATTTTGATAATATCTAATAACAATTAGCATACAGGTAAGGAAAATACCTTTAGTACAGGCTTTTATCCAAAAAAATCTCCTCCTCAGTAACGTGTCCATCATCCATCTATTTTGAAAGAGAATATATTAAACTACAATTAACATCCAATACACACTAATGGTAACGTCCCAAAAATTTCATTTTTTAAATTTATAAAACGGTAATCCAAAACATTGTCATACAACCAAGAAAGACCAAAGTGTATCACTACATCCAGGGCCGGTCCATTGTTTTTTTACTACCCGGGGCAAAATAAGAATTTTATGCCCTTATATATATACTATACGATAAAGAAAACGTATCTATAAAATATTTATAAAATAAAAAAATACAATAAATTTTATAATCAAACAAATAATACTAGCAAAACCCTACAAAAATCACCTAAAATGGTGTCTTTGTGTATTTTTTTGAAGCTAAAACATCTCTTATTTTTACAATAATCATATTTTGTAAAAAATAACTTTCATTACTTAAAATTGCTAATATATTCAATCTTTTCTTAAGTCATGATACTTCGAATATACAATTTCAAAGCTTCAATTTGAAAAACTTCTTTCCACGGAAGCAACCTTTAACCCTACAATCAACAATATCATATACAACCAACACATTAGTGAACATATCTATTATTCTTGCATACTACTCTTCTTCTTCTTATCTTTTTGTTTTCTATTTTTAGAAGCACCTGATGGTTGTTTTCGGAGAACCATATTTAACACTCAACAAATCTAATTATAAAATATAAGCAACGAAAGATAAAACCTGTCTAAAGTTTATGTTTTTCCACTTTCAAGATGTCAAGAGATCTGAAAAATAAACCACATAATACAAAATAAGAATCTATTTCTCAAAACTATTATATTATAACAACAAAACAAATTTATACCTTTTTGCTCCTCTCTAAAAGTCAGATAGTCAAAAAAACAGAAATCAAAAATAAGAAATCATAAGTTCAATAAATAATTAAACGTCTTTATGCTTCCTGATTCACATCAAAAAACAAGAACACAAAAGTTTAGAGAAGAGAAATTAAAAAAAATGATGAGAAGGCATAGATTTTGATTCAAACATAGGAGAAATTTTGTAACACTCATAAAAATTTGCACAAATTTAAAACATTTTAATTCATTCAAAAGCCATTAAGTTATTACAACTTGTTTTCAAAAGAGTTTAAACATCAGAGTATCCCCAGAACCAAATCACAAAATCATGAAGTATGAGGAGCGGTACGATCACGCCTTCGCCTTGCCACGATCTCCTGAAGTACCTGAAACCAAAACACTACAATTGTAAGCCCGAAAGCTTAGTGAGTTACCCCCAAAATACCAACCGCATATAACCATACTCATATCTTCCAGTTACCTACCTTCAACTATCTTCCAGTTACCTACCCCCAAAATACCAACCGCATGAAATTGCTAAATCGTCATTTACCTACCTTCAACTATTTTATAACTCGGATTACAGCATCCCTCTTCCAGTTATAAATAGGTTGTTGGATCCTAGCCTTAATATTTCATATTGGGTGTTATATTAAGGACTTTAGATTAACTATCTTGAATATCTCCCAAAAGATGTCGAGTTCAGACATCTATGATCTTCCCAAATCTCTTGGAACTTTACTTCCTCAACCTCCTCCAATTATTCTCCCTAACCCACAAGTTCAAGGTCACTCAAGCCCTAATGGCAAGCAAGGTCTATGTGTGATCACATCTTAGAGATGAAGTCACATATTGACAAGCCGGGAGAGTTGGGTTTCAAAGTCTTGAGAAAGTTGGATGTTCAATCACTTTCTAAGTCACATAGTGAGTTCCTTTGGAACTACTATGATACAGACTATGACATGAACCTTAATGATCATATCTATTTGCTTGGTGCTGCTGAATCAGCAATGATTTGGAACGATAGTGAAGCAAATTTGATTAGAAGATCAACTTCCCAAAAACTTTATGGACAGTGACAATGGTGACACTGGAAATCCAGAAAAAGCAATCTCTTCCCAATGGAAAGGGATTGACCATAGTCAACCCGGTTGACCAAATGGTAAAGAGAAAGGCTAATTCTGAGATAGTCCCATTACCAAAGGGTCCATATGTTTATTTTGCCAAAGGAAGGGGCGTTGATTGCAAAGCTGCCAAATTTACCTAAGGATGTTAAAGTCAATAAGTTTGACTCTACATCAGGTAGAGCCCATTATCTAACTCTGTTAAGTTCTATTCTGAGATCCTCATTACATGATGTGACTGGGTCACATGTTTATGTTTTAAGAATCAAAGAATAGAGAGAAATCTTAAAGGAAGTATATGCTGATTCTGATCGCGAAGGTGGATTTCGATCGCATCAGAATTTTGAGCAGTTGCTTAAGAAGTTATGATATATTGCTAAGGAATAGATAACAACAATTTTCCATGTGGATTGTAAGGATAAGTTTTTCTGCAAAGTTTTAAAATAAAAGAAAATTGTTTAATTTTATTTATTTGAAGTATCCTTACAATGGCATTTGTGGAAAATTGTTGCTTATATGATTCCACTGACAGCAATATTGGAAAATGGATTTGATTCTTTCATTTGTGGTAATGTCTAAATTTACCAAATCAGGAAAGTTCCTCATCGCCCAAGTTTCAATTGGACCGAAACTTGGAATCATGCAAGTTGAATAGTATGATGAATGAGAACTTTCAAGCATTGGGAAATCAAGACTAATTACTTGTTCACATGGATGTGTGAGTCAAGTGAAGGACTAAAGGGATCGAGTACACATTCTTGTGCACTGGTCATGTCCACCACAAAGCTCGTTAAGACTATTTGATTTACTAAAGTTTAGTAAATATGGTTATACTTACAAGTTTAAGTATAATTCTGAAACATTGGAAAAGTCTCAATGTATGGCAGAACGAATGGGAAGAATCAAATTTAGGCAGAAAGATAAAAGTTTCTCAAATCTAAAAAGATGGGAGAGTACTTTAGTATCATGTTTGTGATCATCTTAATGATTTAGAAATCATATCACAATTAGTCCTCTAAAGGTCATCTTAGTGCATTCTTATGACTAAGAAGAGGAGTCATGAATTGTTGAAATGGTTAGATCAGGAAGATGAGTCATACTTCGTTCCAAAACAATTCTTAGAGTCATACTCCAAGATTGTAACTTGAGTGACATATCTTAAAGAAAGGTTTAAAAC